TATTATATGTTATACATGACATGTATTTACAGTAATAATGAAGTGTCTATAAATTTTTTAATAAATCATCAGCGCTTTACCGTATATTATAGTCACTTATTATATAGCTATCAAATATAATGATTCTATTTAATTAGATTAATACACAAATCTTTAACATATAGTACATAAAAATATTATTGGACTAATTTATGACCTAGTTCGTAAGTTGAGTATAAACTAACACTTATAAATTGTTATATAATATAACACATATTTATATCTATACACCGGGAATCTCAAATCAAGAATATTTTTATGACAATAATGCACATGTACAAAGTAAACTCCTATTATTATTATGCTTGGTCATTTAGTCATAATGGATGTGGCAATATATTGCATCTTATAATTATAATAATAATTCCCAATCCAATTCCTAATATACCAGGTTATTAAAAAGTGTTTCTTATTTGTGTAATAAAATATATTGTATGAAACCCTTAATCTGATCCAGGTAGTATCCATCGGTGGATACTATCGAAGAGATATCGTGTGAAACAAAAAGCATTTCAAAGCCATTGAAGGGGTCAATGATTTTGAAGAACAATGTGATGAGAAATGTCTCGAAAATGACACTAAAATCGGCGAAATCAGTGAATTCTGTGGACACAGTGGTCGGTGAAGTCAGTGGCGATTGTAAGCAAAACTATGGCTAAGTTTTAAACCTAATCTTAAGATTATTTCGTATTATAGATCCGATTCTCATTCCGGATTCACTACTGATTCTCAAAATTCTCATTCGTCCCAAAACTGGTCCTCGGATTCCGACTCCGGGTATAGATTTGAGATCCTATTGAAGGCCTCAATGAACACAATCTCAATTCATATGCAATAAAAGTTCAAACAATGAAAACAAAACTAACTTTTCATATCATTTCACTCGTAATACACGTCTCAACGAAATGAACGAAACATTTCATTCACTTTTGCTTTTCATACCTTAAGTTCAAACCAAAAATCTCGTGAACTGTAAGTGAAACGAGTCATGAGTTTGTATGCATTGAGTGACAGACAGACGACTCACTCATACAGTAGTAGTCTATGAGAGGGACAGACAGCGAGACACTGATGAACCACCAATTGATGCCATTATCAGCGACAATGAGTGCCAACAGATCCCTATTCGTCACTCATTTGGCCGCAGACGTGACCGAAGCTAATCTCGTGAACCTCTTCGCCTCTTTCGGGCCCATCCTGTCGGTGAAGGTGTGTCGCGACGAACGCCGTCTGAGCCGTGGCTACGGATACGTGAACTTCACGACCTCTTCGGACGCCAGACGTGCCATCGATGGCCTCAACTTCGCCCAACTCAACGGTCAACCCATACAAGTAATGGTCGCCCAATCGGAGCCCACGCGACGCGTGTCCACCGACGCCAACGTCTTCGTCAAGAATTTGGACAAATCTATCGATAGTAAGCGTCTTCACGAGCTGTTCGCGCCATTCGGACCCATCGTGTCGTCCAAATTGGCTCAAGAGGTGAACGGCTCGAGTAAGGGCTTCGGTTTCGTTCAGTACGAGCGCGAAGAGAGCGCCGTCCGAGCCATCATCGCGTTGAATGGCAAACAGTTGGCCGCGAAGACCATCTTCTGCTCGAAATTCATGTCCAAAAGCTTACGTCAGAAGGCTTTGGACACCAATAAACCGAAGCAATTGGCTGTGGTTTACGTGAAGAACTTGAGCGCCGACTTTGATGGCCAGTCGCTGCAGGAGTTGTTGGCGCCGTACGGACGCATCGATTCGGCGAAAGTGTTTCACAAGAATGAGAAGACTTTCGGATTCGTGTCTTTTGAGAACGCGATGGCGGCCAACGCTGCCGTTCTGGCACTCCATGACAAATGTCTGCCCAATGGAAGCGCTCTTTACGTAAGTCGAGTCCACAGTCGAGTGGTTCCCAAGAAGTCGGCCGACAAGCAGAAGACTCTTAAGAAGAGATCCGACGGACGCTATGTTTTCGTGAAGTATTTAC